AGCTGTACCAGGGGAAAGAATTGTGCCCAGGCCTGGAAGGTGTCCAGTCTGAGAAAAACTTACTGAAGCATCTCTGAGGGTGAGATTATCTGTATTTGGTTTGATTAGGCATAGATTTGCGCATTTTATTTTATTTTGCTTGTGACTTACTTTGTTCTGTCTGTTACTACTTTGAACCACTTAAATCCTACTGTCTGTATTTAATAAAATCACTTTTTATTTAGTAATTTACTCAGAGTATGTATTAATACCTGGGGGAGCAAACAACTGTGCATATCTCTCTATCTGTGTTATAGAGGGCGAACAATTTATGAGTTTGCCCTGCATAAGCTTTATGCAGGGTAAAACGGATTTATTTGGGTTTAGACCCCATTGGGAGTTGGGCATCTGATTGCTAAAGACAAGCACACTCCTGTGAGCTGTTTTGGGGTAAACTTGCAGTTTTGGGACAAGTGATTCAGACCCTTGGTCTGTGTTGGAGTCAGACAGGAGTGTCTCGCTCAGCAAGACAGGGCGCTGGAGTCCTGAGCTGGCAGGGAAAACAGAAGCAGGGGTAGTCTTGGCACATCGGGTGGCAGCTCCCAAGGGGGTTTCTGTGATCCAACCCGTCACACTACAGTTTTACTGCAAGTACTGATTTTATGAGATACATAGTATATTGCTAGCAAGTCTGAGGCAAGACACAGATTTTAGTAAGTAATATTGTTGATATTCATTTAAAAAAACAACAAAAAAACATGCTCTCCCCTCCACCTCCAAAAAAGATTGGATACAAACTGCAGACCAGCATATTAGGGGAAGTGCCTTGTGTGACAAACTAAGCTAATCACATGCATTACTACTAAAGCAAAACCAGCACAAAATTTATACTACGGGGAAATGTATTTGGAGCTATACCTTAAAACTATGATATAATGTTTCCACAACACACACACACACACACACACACACACACACACCCCTTCCAAAATAAAACCCCACACAACTCCAGCCTTTCAAAGTCCTTTATAAGATTTAGAGGTTCCAGATTGAATGGACAACTCTTACACTCATGCAACATTTTACACAGATTTTAAGTCTTAAACAATTATGTGATACAATTAAAAGAAATCAACCTACATGCTTACATAGAACTCTAGATAAATTATTTAAAGCTATATAGTTTTCAAAGCCTCAGAATATTGTAATAAACTATTGATACTCACCCTTTCTTGCTTTTTCTATTGATTTTAGTTTTTCCTTTGCTTGATAAACAGCTGTTGCCTAGTTATTAAAGAAAAAATGCTTCATTAATTTGTAACCTTAGGCTCAAAGAGGCCCTGTGAATTTGTCCACTTATCCTATTAAAAACCACCTCTAAAATAAAGATCAGATCAACATCTTATTATACAGTGAATATTTTCAAAATATACCAGTGTTTTAAATAAAGTTCTTCTTACTATGCGAGCACATAGCATAGTAATGCCTCTAGAATGTCAGATAAATTAAATAGCTACCATCCTCTACCAGTTGTGATGCCCACAGATATCCAGGAAGGGCTCCTATTGCTTTCACTAGTCCAAGTTGCTCAAAGGGTTGCCTATTTTCTCAAGGGATTAGGCCAAAATGTGAAGTCCAAAATTCATCTGCTCCTTCTATTCTTTCCTCATTTAACCAGCACCCGTCTTCAGTGGTTTGATTTTCCACACTTCACCTATTATTTACAATAGCTGTTATTTTCACTACCAATCTTTCAAATAGTGAAAACAGACTAGGTGGGGTGTAAAATTATTATGAAGGAAGAGTAATATAGGTTGAATGAAAATTACCATTACAGCCTTTCCAAAAAGCAAGTAACTTTAATTAACTCTGGCTACTGAAAGCATAATTTCCAAGCTTTCAAGAAGAATTCATGTATTTAATCTTAAACTAAAAATTTTGTTTTTTCCAGAACTGCATGTTATGCACAACCACTCCCAACCAGCAACTCTCAAAAGCAAACACTTCACCTATAGACTTACCAGTATATGCTCTGCTTCTTTCAGTTGTTTTTGTAGCTGCTGAATATCACTGTCCCTCTTTTCGACTACTTTTTCTAATAGCTGCATTTCATGATGAATTTTCCCCTGATCAAGTGCCAGTTTCATTAATTCCTGAAACTCTCCATCTCTCTGAATCAGCAACTCCAGGATCTGTCAAATAAAGTATTTATGTAACTTATTTAGCTTGATTAATTACAAAATCCACAACTGCACTATGAAGAGGAATCCAATAGTAGGAGGGACAGCAGAAGTCGGTTTTGGGGTATTCACACTGATTTTGTAGTATTCTCCAAAACAAAACATATTTAAAATAAAATGAAGTTTCCAACTCTTCTACTTAGGAAGATAACCTACAATTCAGATAGCCCAAATTGCAACTTGAGGGTAGGTCAAGTATGACATGTGCTAACAAGTACCTAATAAGGTATTTATTTGTACCAAAGCTGGTATGCTGGAGGATTTTATTGAGAATGCAAACAAGAACTTTCCATTCATCTATCAAGGAAGATACAAGTTTCAATATTAAATATGAACATGCAGATCTGAAAAGTATGTGTGTTTCTTGGATTCCAGAGAAGCTACCAATTTGGCTCTCAGTTTAGCAAAATTAGGGCACCCCAACCCATGCAACTGATGGACTTATCTTGTTGGGACTGCTGCCAAACACATGGAAACAAGAATACTAAGAAAGATGCCAATTTTCCTCATTCATCTAATAAATCATTAATTCTTAATACAAGTTATGAACAGTTCAGCCCCAGCACTGTTAATTATGCCACTGCTGAATATATGAAACACAGCCCTGGCCATACTAGCCCATCACCCCTGAGTATTAACTAGAACATCCTCAATGTATTACATTCCTTAGAAAAAATATTTTACCTCTAGCAAACTGACATAACAGGTACACTCCAGTCACAGTGAAACTGACAATTCTAGACATTTAGATTTTAAAAGGTGTATTAAGTAGAAGTGCAGTCTGAAACAGTTTGTGCCAAGCGAATCACTTTTAAAAGTGGAGGAAACTGTGTTTTATGCAGTAAAATCTCTGCAGATCTGGAATGTGCTCATTTCATCACTACTAGCACAACTCTTAGTAGGTTTCACACATATGTAGATTAGTGATTCCTAAACCAAAGCTAGCAAATTTAATACATTTAGTTTTGGCCAAAACCATAAGGTTTATTGTAGAAGTACAAGGAAGTGCCAGATGAAAATAATGGTTCTTTTGGGTGGACTAGGGGAGTCCTTGACTTATGCTATATCAAGCCCACATTTCTTCCAGAGCTTATCAACAGTGTTCCTTCAGTTAGCATGAGTACTGTGCCTATTCCCAAGAAGAGCTTCCTGTGCTACCTCTGTGGCACTCCAAATTCTGCTGATTCAGAAGCTGAGATTTAGACCTCTGATTCCTTGTGCCACTCTAGACTGACTAAGTACTTCTGTTGCCAACAAAGAAAGTAGGAAGTTTCTGGTGAACAGTAAGAATGACCCACTGTGTTGTGTGATTATGAGAGGGAACCAAGCTCCCTTATACTATGGGCACTGACTGTCCAAAGTAGGACATTAAATGCCCACTAGTAGGCTGTTTTAACATAAGCAGCCCAAGCTTGCACCAAGTCCAGCAGTGCACAACCATCAACTCATTACTAAAAAAGGTTTACAACCAAACTAGAAGTTACTATGCCCTCAAATGTAATATGATATGACTAGCCCTCTCACTAAGTATGCTGGAACTCAGAGCCATCTTCCTCTGTTTTCAGAAGGGTTACTTTGCAAGACATAGTAGTGAGGGCAGTTCACAGCGGGGCCATTGGTCTTATCTAAAGCATAGCTGTAATCCACAAACTACACAGAAGTATCCCCTTAGTCAAGGTATGTTCTTTGTGAATCCTCTAGCTGTATCGGTTTACTCTTTTGATAAAGTCTTTACTTCTGTTCAGCACCACAGAGCCAATGCAATGGAGTCTATTCTGCTTCATGCATCTACACAATTTTCAGTTAAACTCTGCTTACAAAATCTTTATTACAAGCAAGGATGTACAATCCTTAGAGAACACAGCTTGATTTTTCAGAGCACAAATTGGATTAATAGCATCTCCCATTACAAATTCATCTTTGGATTTGTAAGAGTAAAAGTTTGATGTGGAGGCTATTGCGAGAGAATACGTTACAGCAGATAATAAGGGAAAGATTAACTGTATGTAAATTACTGAAACTAGTACTACATGTATTCACATATTTAATCTTTGCTGTTTTCAATCTCGATGCCCCCTTGGAGAAAAATCTTCTGATACTGTCAGCTACCTTAGGTGGCCTGTTTTAAGTGGCCAGGAAAGGAAAGGTATAATTAAGTCTCCTTCCTCTATGTACCAGGGGTTTATCTCCATAAAGATATCAAATAATTGGACAGTCCATCACACGCAAAAATCCACCCTCAAACCGCAGAGGGAGAGAACTGGCTGAGATTTTGACGAAGTGCCAGACCAAGAGTGAATGAAGATCATCAGCACTAAGGATCACAAAAGGAAATAGTCTAGCTACAATTTTCTTCAGAACTCTACAGACCAGCACTTGACAAACCATCTAATAAGGTCCTTATCCAGAATATTTATGCTGCTTGCCACCAGTGCTCAAGGCACATGCAGGGTTTAAGGAGTGCACATGGACTGGGACAGGGGTTAGCTCTTCAGCCCTTCAAGTACTTACAAGCACAGCAGGAGACTGAATCAAGCCCTGGAAAAGCAAAATACTGAAGAGTCTGTTAAACCACTGCTCTCACATTTCATAGGATTTCAGTCCTATTGAACACAACTAGCTTTTACAAACTCAGGGCAAAGTCCTTGGCTCACTGGGTGGGGGAGCGAAGGGGCACTGTCACTGACTTCCCTGGAAGCAGGATTGGGCCCTCACCACTAAACTTTTCAAATATTAGTGTTGCTAAAAATTTCATACCACACAGTTAGCCTGAATGCTAGGCCTCGTAGAGAGAAAAAGGCTGAATATGTAGGTTAACTACCTAGACAAATATTTAAGAAAATTTGTTTACCTGGCTCTCCTCTCCTGGTTGTGGGAGTTTCTGGTTTCTTGAAATTGCCAAAATTTCAATCAGTTCCCTGAAATGAAATGTGCATTGTAAACAATATTCTAAATTACTGTTTAGAAATTAGGTGAGATTGTCCTCAGTGAATTTCAAAAGTATACTAGTGACATCGTATTTTTATTAGGGCTGCCGATTAATCGCAGTTAACTCAGGTGATTAACTAAAAAAAAATAATCGTGATTAAAAAAATTAATCACGATTAATTGCACTGTTAACAATAGAATATCAATTGTAATTTACTAAATATTTGTGGATGTTTTTCTACATTTTCATATATATTGATTTGAATTACAACAAGGAATACAAAGTGTACAGTGCTCACTTTATATTATTTTTAATACAAATATTTGCACTGTAAAAATGATAAACAGTATTTTTCAATTCATCTCATACAAGTACTGTAGTGCAATCTCTTTATCGTGAAAGTGCAACTTACAAATGTAGATTTTTTTTGTTACACAACTGCACTCAAAAAAACAAAACAATGAAAAATGTTAGAGCCTACAAGTCCACTCAGTCCTACTTCTTGTTCAGCCAATCGCTCAGACAAAGAAGTTTGTTTACATTTACAGGACATAATGCTGCTCGCTTCTTCACACAATCATAGAAGATTAGGGTTGGAAGAGACCTCAGGAGGTCATCTAGTCCAACCACCTGCTCACAGCAGGACCAACCCCAATTAAATCATCCCCAGCCAGGGATTTGTCAAGCCGGGACTTAAAATCTCTAAGGATGGAGATTTTACCACCTCCCTAGGTAACCCATTCCAGTGCTTCACCACCCTCCTAGTGAAATAGTTTTTCCTAATATCCAACCTAGACCTCCCCACTGCAACTTGAGACCATTGCTCCTTGTTCTGTCATCTGCCAATACTGAGAACAGCCGAGCTCCATCCTCTTTGGATCCCCCCTTAAGGTAGTTGAAGGCTGCTATCAAATCCCCCCCCACTCTTCTTTTCTGAAGACTAAATAAGCCTAGTTCCCTCAGCCTCTCCTCATAAGTCATGTGCTCCAGCCCCCTAATCATTTTCATTGCCCTCCACTGGACTCGCTCCAATTTGTCCACATCCTTTCTGTAGCGGGGGGCCCAAAACTGGATCCAATACTCCAGATGTGGCCTCACCAGCGCCAAATAGAGGGAAATAATCACTTCCCTCGATCTGCTGGCAATGCTCACTAATGCAGCCCAATATGCCGTTAGCCTTCCTGGCAACAAGGGCACACTGTTGACTCATAGCCAGCTTCTCGTCCACTGTAATCCCAGGTCCTTTTCTGTAGAACTGCCGCTTAGCCAGTCGGTCCCAACCTGTAGCAGTGCATGGGATTCTTCCATCCTAAGTGCAGGACTCTGCACTTGTCCTTGTTGAACCTCATCAGATTTCTTTTGGCACAATCCTCTAATTTGTCTAGATCCCTCTGTATCCTATCCCTACCCTCCAGCGTATCTACCACTCCTCCCAGCTTAGTGTCATCTGCAAATTTGCTGAGGTTGCAATCCATTCCATCATCCAGATCATTAATGAAATTATTTACAATGTCACCTGAAAGCGAGAACAGGCATTCACATGGCACTTTTAAAGCTGGCATTGCAAGGTATTTATGTAGCAGATATGCTAAACATTCGTATGCCCCTTCATGCTTTGGCCACCATTCCAGAGAACATGCTTCCATGCTGATGATGCTTGTTAAAAAAAATGTGTTAATTAAATTTGTGACTGAACTCCTTGGGGGAGAATTGTATGCCTCCTTCTCTGTTTTACCTGCATTCTGCCATATATTTCATGGTATAGCAGTCTCAGATGATGACCCAGTACAAGTTGTTTATTTTAAGAACACTTTCACTGCAGATTTGACAAAACGCAAAGGAGATACCAATGTGAGATTTCCAAACATAGCAACAGCACTCGACCCAAGGTCTAAGAATCTGAAGTGCCTTCCAAAGTCTGAGAGGGTCAAGGTGTGGAGCATGCTTTCAGAAGTCTTAAAAGAGCAACACTTCAATGCGGAAACTACAGAACCCGAACCACCAAAAAAGGAACTCAATCTTCTGCTGGTGGCATCTGACTCAGATGATTACAATGAACATGCGTCGGTCCACACTGCTTTGGATAGTTATCAGCATGGACGCATGTCCTCTGGAAGGGTGGTTGAAGCATGAAGGGACGTATGAATCTTTAGCACATCTGACACGTAAATATCTTGCAACATGGGCTACAACAGTGACATGCAAACACCTATTCTCACTTTCAGGTGACATTGTAAACAAGATGCGGCAGCATTATCTCCTGCAAATGTAAACAAACTTGTTTGTCTGAGCGATTGGCTAAACAAGAAGTAGGAGTGAGTGGACTTCAGTTTTACAGTGTTTTATTTTTGAGTGCAGTTATTATTTTGTACATAATTCTACATTTGTAAGTTCAACTTTCATGATAAAGAGATTGCACTACAGTACTTGTATTAGGTGAATTGAAATATACTATTTATTTTGTTTTTTACTGTGCAAATATTTGTAATCAAAAATAATAATATAAAGTGAGCACTGTATACTTTGTATTCTGTGTGGTAATTGAAATCAATATATTTGAAAATGTAGGAAACATCCAAAAATATTTAAATAAATGGATTCCATTATTCTTTAACAGTGTGATTAATCACACGATTAATTTTTTTAATCGCTTGACAGCCTTAATTTTTATCTTAAATATTTCAGTATTTAAGACAACCCCTTGAAAAACCTAAAAGTATCAAAATCTTTATTTTTGATAAAAAAACTAATTAGATTTTACAAACATATGAGGAAAGATCGATGTAAATTTGGACTTAAAAATTTTGGCACAGGGCTTTCAATTTAAGAACGTGAATAAGACTATTTCAAAAGTACTTGCTGTTATTTTAAGTGACATTTGTGTTTATGAAAGGTGCCAGGCTGACATCCTCTCAGCATAAGTATGACACTAGCAGAAAGAGTTCCAAGGGACATCAACAACCTTAAAAGTCATAAATTGTAACACAGGTAAAGAAATGTGTTTACAAACACCACGTCAAATCCAAAGCCCAATTAAATCAATAGAAGACTTTCCATTGATTTCCATGGACTCTCGATAAGATTCTCAGTTCTTAGCATCTCCAAGTCTGCCAAGCCACATGCCAATTGTTATGGTGGTTTACAAGACATGGGTATGAATTCAATAAGAATTGACCTGCCATCAATTCATTTCTCAGATCACTAAATAGCCAAAATGGCAGTTAATTTCAGTCTACCATCATGGGCTCAATTTGAGCCGGAGGCTATTTATGAGTAATGGAGTCTCAACTCTAAGGGTATGTCTACACTGGCAGAGTTACATCGCCACTCAGAGAGTGCTGAAGGGAAACTGCTGTTGTGTGTTCACACTGTCAGCTGCCTGCGAAACAGCAAGTTCACACTTGCGTCACTTGCATCGGTATTGGGAGCGGTGCACTCTGGGCAGCTATCCCACAGAGCACCTCTTCCTCTTCTGCCACTAAGAGTTGTGGGAAGGCGGAGGGGGTCATGGGGCATCCTGGTTCCTGTCCCAATGCCCCATGATTCATTGCTTCGCATCCCAGCAATCCCTGTGCTTCTGTCTGCATTTGGCGCCATCTTTCAATGGTTTGTGTACTGCGCACTCTGCCTCTTCGGTCTGCAGGAATGGATCCCACATTGTTGACCAATATGCTGCTCGCTCTTACTAGTACGTCACAAGTGGCAGTGGAGTTGTTCCTTAAACTACAAAGGCAAGAGGAGTGTGACACTGATCTCGCCACGCATAGTAGCTATGACAAGAGATTGCTTGTGGCATTCACAGACATGCTGACCACCGTGGAACGCTGCTTTTGGGCTTGGGTAACAAGCACTGACTGGTGGGATCACATTGTCATGCACACTTGGGATGACTAGCAGTGGCTGCAGAACTTTCGGATGAGGAAAGCCACGTTCATGGAACTGTGTGATGAGTTTGCCCCAGCCCTGTGGCGCAAGAACACGAGAATGAGAGTTGCTCTGTCGTTTGAGAAGTGCGTGGCGATTGCACTGTGGAAGCTGGCTACTCCAGACTGCTACCAAACAGTCGCTAACCAGTTCAGAGTGGGGAAGTCGACCATTGGACTCGTGTTGACAGAAGTGTGCAGGGCCATTAATCACATTCTGCTCCGAAAGACCGTGACTCTGGGCAACATGCGTGACATTGTGGATGGCTGTGCACAAATGGGCTTCCTTAACTGCGGGCAGCCGGGGGCGGAGGGGGGGCGAGATAGATGGCACACATATTCCAACTCTGGCATCAGACCACCTAGCCACCGAGTACATTAATTGGAAAGGGTATTTCACTATGGTTCTCCAGGTGCTTGTGGATCACCGCGGACATTTCACGGACATTAATGGAGGCTGGTCCGGAAAGATGCATGACACATGCATCTTTCAGAACACTGGCCTGTTCAAGAAGCTGCAAGCAGGGACTTTCTTCCCGGACCAGAAGATCACCGTAGGGGAAGTCAAAATGCCCATTGTGATCCTGGGAGTCCCCGCCTACCTTTAATGCCGTAGCTTATGAAGCCATACACGCGGAACCTTGACAGCATCAAGGAGTGGTTCAACAACAGGCTGAGCAAGTGCAGAATGACTGTTGAGTGTGCTTTTGGCCATTTAAAGGCCCGCTGGTGCTGCCTATCTGGGAGGTTGGACCTGGCCAATGAAAATATTCCTATGCTTATAGCCGCATGCTGTATGCGCCATAATATTTGTGAAGGAAAGGGTGAAAGCTTCACTCAGGGCTGGACCACTGAGGGTCAGCGCCTGGAGGCTGAATTTGAACAGCCAGAGACCAGGGCTATTAGAGGAGCGCAGCACGGGACCATAAGGATCAGGGATGCCTTCAGGCAGCAATTTGAAGCGGAAAGCCACTAATATTTGTTGCTATGCTCGGGAGTGCAGTGCTTGTAATGCTAGGAGGTGATTGTGATTGCACAGTGAAGGTTTAAGAAAATTGCCTGTTGC